CCCTCTTGCAGAACTGGGGCATGTTCAAACTGGACTGTTTGAACAGCATTGGCTATGGGGAGTCCTTGAGGAACATGAATGTGTCTGCCTGGAAATCTGCATGTGCCATGGATGAACATACTTCTCATTCTTTGGAGGTCTTGAGGAAACAAATCACTTCATGGAATTGGCTGAAATTTTAATGATATCCATCCAGGTACCTTAGCACAGTGGTAGGAAAAGCATGTGTAAATGGTTGGGTTTTTGGTTCAAGGGCATGTGTGCTTTTTATGCATTACATTGAATGTTCATCATGAGCTTTCTGGCACTCAGCAGGGCCTGTGTCATGGAGATCAGATTAGCTAGTCCTCACACTAACTAAAGGTCTTAAAATTTGCTGTTTATTCTCTAGCATTTTAGGAAACAAGGAGGTCTGAAATAGAGGCTCTCTTCTGAGCTGAAGTTCTGCTACCTCCATCACTGGATTCACCTGATTTATTCACTTCCTTAATGTTATTATTTCTTGCTTTCACCTATCTACTTTTGGTACACTACAAGCATTTCAAAATCAAAATACAAGAGCATAAAACTAGCTATAAAATTACCAGAACTCTTTCCATCCCTTCCTTACCACTTGTGCAGGGCAGATGTCTTCTGAAGGACACTTCTACCTCCAGATATCAGGACATTTGGGAGAGGGATCGGACTCTGCGCTGGTGTGTCCTCTGTGGGATGTAAGCAGAAACAGTACCCGGGCAATGAAAGTATTTGAATTTTAATGATAGGACAGTGTGAAAAAACACTGTAAAAACACTTCCCTGCTTTTTGCTGGGGAAGTCTCAATTTGTCTCTTCGGCTGCCTCTGGCTTTTTGCCCGACATTCTCAGATCTGCTGGTGAAGGGAGACAGCAGAGCACGTTTGTCTTATTCCTCTTCCCCAGCACGAGATGCCAGACTGGAACAGATACGCCACCGCTCCTGGTCTAAGCTACAGAGGGCTACAGTCTACTCAGCTCTCTCCTATATCTGCCCCGATATATTCAGTAGGATGGGGCTGAGTTATGCCTCATTCACTGGCAGCATCTCTGCAAATCCACTGGAATGCTCCCGAAGCACTGAGATTAGTGCCTGTTTTGCCAGGATTGGCACACACAGTTCCACATGTGCAGGATCTCTGCCCGAGTCCCAGCACAGGATCGCCCTGCGTGGACTTCAGAGGTGGCCTGGGAGCACTGAACATCCCTGGTGAAGATTTGACCTCCCATCTTGATGCATGCTTACCCTACTCCTTTTCCCTATTTGGAGGGGCTGTATGGTATAGAAAGCATTTAGGACAAAAAGTCTATAGAAGTGTGATACTAATAATATTTTACAGCTTTAATTACCATGATTGTAGTGCCTAGAGGCGTATGCAAAAACACTGAGTGGGAGGAGAGGAGGCAGTGCTGTGAACATTTTTGTGGTTTTGCTGGGCAATGCGCAATTGAGTTTTCTCATGGGAACCACAGCATGCCAGAGAGGAAAGCTGCCTCTGCCTCCTCATCTGCTCCGCTGGGATACTGGATCACACCCCGGAGTCCAGGAGACAACCACAGTCACTCGTTTCAGGTGAAAGCTGGGCTGCCCCTGCCCCTGCTCTGCAGAAGGACTCCGCGTGCTGCCCCTTTCTGCAAGCGATGGGTATTTTCCCTCAGGCGATGCCCCTTCGGTAGGATGAGCAGCAGTTTCACCTGGAGGATGATTTCAGGATTGGGCAATTGGCATGGGTTTGCCAGCAGCCTCAAGAGCAGCACTGCCGGTTCCTTGGTTGGGGCACACAACGCAGCCAGAGCTCTTGCTCCTGTCAGCCACGTCCATGTCATGCGTGTCCACATCATGCTTGTCCATGTCCCTGGGCATGGGCAGAGGTGAGGGGACAGACAGAGGGGCCATGGGTGGCTGGGCAAACCCCTCTTGCACCTTCCCTTCCCCACGGCAGCCTGCCTGGCACTGCCAACAGGCCCAATGCAAAGCGACCAGCTTGATGGTCACCACTGACCATTACAGACACCACTGACAACCAGGAGGATACCCCAAGCAGGAATGCAAATTTTCAGAGTTTGGGTGTTACCAAATTAAAATATATGAAATAAAGATGCTTGCATTTCCCTAGCTACAGAAAGAAAACTTTTTACGCTTTGTTCCTAAATCAAATAGTAATTTTTAGGCATAGCCATGTAGTTCCTGCACCAGTGACTTGATGTAGGTTCGTTATTAAGATGCTACAAAGCCAGTAGCCTTCTGTTTGACAAACTGAAAGACATGTTCAGTTTTATCTGTATGTGGCTACCAAAGAGCCAGTCTGCAGCTCAGCTTCCCAGACAGTCCCTACTCAGATGAACAGCCGTGAGTTGCAACACAGCTTCCTGATAGCCAAGGGATTGATTGGAAGGCAATGAAGACTGGAAAGAAACCCTGTGTGATAAGTATTCCTGGCTGTGGGAAGAGCTGGATATCGCCTACAAGACAAGCATATTTTATTGAGGCTTTTTTCCCCCTCACTTTCTCATTCCCCCCCCATCTCTTTTTTATCTGCACTAAGTCACTAAGTATAATTTACATTATTAAAACCTCGTATTTTAATCAACTCTCCTTCAGTTAAATACATATATGGTATCCTTTCTCCTCACTTGATTTGACACTTTGTGTTTGATGCAGATTTTTGTACATCTGTGCTTTGCACAGACTAAAAAACCGTAGAATAATAAATTCGAATGAAATCCCAGTACCGTAATAAAGGGGCCAAATTTTGACCGTAGGCTCACCAGGACTTCCATGAGGAGAATGAATGGGTTCTCCTACTGCTGCATTAGATGTTGTACAAAGAGGAAAACTCTACCAGTGGGTAATCTTATGGCGAATGGACATCAGCTCATAGTGCTGCAGGTGGAGATCCTCCCCTAAGTACCCCAAGCTGTGGCCATCAGTTGGTGTCCCTGCTGCACCCTGGAAAGATGGGCTAAAAGTTAGATTAATCTCGTTAGTGGTTGGTAGTTTGAGTTCTGCCCTTTGCCGCACCACCCAAACCCCGGTCTTGAAGGCAGCAGTATTGTGGCCACTCCTCACCAGGCATAAGGATATCCTTCCCACACAGTGGGCACCTCAGGCCTGAATGGCGACTGCACCTATTCCCACGGCTGGTGTGTTTTGGTGCGCTGGGTGAAGAGCAGGAGGAAGGTTTTCGTTCCAGAGAGGTGATGTATGGCATCCTTCAACCTGAGTGATGGGCGACGGGGGCTGCTCCAGCCCCAGCTGGAAGGTGTCACCCCCCCCGCGGATCCCAGCCCGGGGGCAGTTGTGTCAGTGGCACGCCAGTCCCAGCCGCGGGCCGAGCTGGCAAGGTCCTGCTGCCACGCCCAGGCCTCGTCCTGACTTTCACCAACCCTCACTTTATCAAAGCCGTGCTCTACCAGAGCTGCTTTCATTAACCGTGGTGCTCACCACGCTGTGCAGCTGACACCGCCGCGGCCCCACTCACCACCTCCCTCACACGCGGCCTTGCGCTTGGACCCGCCAGTGGCCCAAGCCCTTGGGCTCCCTGTGCCCGGGCCGGGACCGCTGGCACCAGCCCCGGGACCAGGCGGCAGCTCCCCCCGTGCGAGCGGAAGGTTTGAACTCACGTTTCGCAGCGGGGGTGCCCGGGTCCCCGCGCGGGGCGGGTGGCGGCGCCCGGGTGCCGGTGCGCGGTGCGGCCGCGGCGGGGCGCTCTGCCGGTGCCGGTTCCGCCCCCGCGCGGCTGCCGACCCCGCCGAGGCGCTGCGTCACGCGGCAGCCCGCGCGTGGGCGGGCGGGCGGCGGTAGCGCGCGCGGGATCTCCCCATGTGACCGCGCGCGGGAGTGGGCGGTGTGTGGTGTGCGGGGCGGGGGGGGGGGGGGGGGGGGGAGGCGGGCGGAGGCGCCGGAGGCTGTTCCCTCCTTCCCTCCCTCCCGCTCGGCCTCCGCTACACGGCAGGAGCGGCCGCGGCGAGGCGAGCTGTGCCGGGCGGCCTCCCCAGCTCCCCTCCGCCCGGCGGCAGCAGCCAGGCGGTGGCGGAGACCGGCTCGCCCACCCGCCCCGTCGATGGGAAAGGAGGAGCCTGGGCCGGCGGCGCGCAGGCGGGGGGGCGCTGGCAGCAACTTCGGCAGGGCTGAGTCTGCGGCCCCGGGACGGCGTCGAGGGAAGCGCCGGGCATCCGGCGGCGGCAGCAGCCTACAGCAGAGTACGTGCGGGACGGCCCGGGGAGGGGGTGCGGACAGCTGGGGCAGCGCGGCCCTGGACCCGCGGGGTACGGCCGGAAGGAGCGGGCGGGTCGTGCGTGGGTGATTCCCGGAGAACGCAGCGCGGGGGGGACGGGGAGTGGGCGGAAAGTACCGGAACGTCCCCACCGCGCCTGCTGCCGCGGGGGGGCGGCGGGGCGGGACTGACGGGACGGGACAGACGGGGGCGGTGCCCCGTCGGCCCCGCGCAGGGGTATCGGGGGGGGGGACGGGGACGGACAGGGACGGCGCTGTGGTACGGGCCGCCCCCTCGTCCCGTGCTGCAGCGTGGCGCCTTGCCCCTCCGCGGCCTCTCCCCCCCCGCCGTTCCCCGCGCAGTGCTCCTCCTGCCCCGCAGCTCTTGCTGGGACGTGCCGGGTTGTCCGGACCCGGCGGCTCCGGGCGCCGCCGGCCGGACCGTGAGGAGGCTGTCCCGCTGCCCGGCACCCGGGCACCTCAGTGCAGCCTTCAGGGGCAAGCGGTCCCGGGGAGGCTTCCCGCGGGCGGTGGCCGCTTCCCGAGGGGTGCGGGGCCGCGGCTCCGGGTTGTTCCCGTCAGCGGGCTCGGCGGATGCGAACTTGGTGCCGGGATCGCAGCGCTCCCCTGTGCTCGCTGCGTCGGTTTCCTTCGATTCAGCTCCCTTCGCGGCCCGGCTGGCATATGCGGCTGGAGGTAAACCCCCGGGCCGGGCTCCGGTGGGACCCGACAGCTCGCACCGGGCTGGCGGGAGTCGCGAAGTACTCGGGTTCTTTCTGTCCTTATGAGATTGGGGGTGTTTTTTCGCACGTTTCAAGTTTCTTAGTAGTTGCGGCGAGATACACATCTGTATTTGGATGTGAAACTCACTTAATAGCTTGTATTTTGGCACATCTCAGAGCTAGACAAGACTATTTAATTTGCTAAGTCTCGCTTCTGCAGCTACATGTAATTTTCTTCTCCTGCTAAAAGTCCTTTGGAAACGCTGCAGAAACGTAATGAATATGCAAAGCAGCCAGTTCTCAAATCCGAATCCGGTTTGTCTTCAGAGACTTTTCAAAACGCCCAAAGTGATCAAGATGTATTATGAAATAATCACTTTTACTTAAAATACAGGAATGTGATGTTTCGCGCTTTCTCGTGCGTATTCCTAATAGAGTTGGTGACAGCTCAAATATAATTTCACCTCAAATAAAAGCCTCTAAAAATCAGTTAGGGTTGCTCAATCGGTTTTACTTCTAGTGCAGCCTTGAAAAGCAGGAAAACTGCAAGTAGAGTCCTTGCCCCATGCTTACATCCCACAGCTCCCGCGTTTTCCTTCTCCCGGTCCTTCACCCACGTCCACCACCTGCTCGCTGCAGCCATGTATCTTCCTGCCACCTCCGGGAAATGTGCAGCTTTGATCTCAGACCAGGCAGGACGGGAAGAAATGAGTGTTTTCCCGTGGTTAATGATACTGAGCCGGGCTGCCTCCGCTGCCGGCTATCTTGATAGAGGGAGCTGGTTGCAGGAATAGGTTGTGATTCCTGCTCTGGTTGTTTACAAATATTTAGTCGTGCTCTGTGGTGTTCTTGTGGTTTTTGTTTTCCTTTTTCCTAGGAGTTATGTTTGTGGTCAGAGTTAAGGTGACATCCAGCGTTTGGAGAGGAGGGCTCGGCATATGGGGTGATAGGCTGTGGATGTGAATGAGGTAATGTGGAAAACCAGAATGCACGGTTGTGGGTTGCAAAAGGCTGTGTGAAAATCTAACTTGTGATTTCCTGATTCTTCTGTGGCTGTGGCAGTATGCAACCTTGCATGTATTTTAAACAGCTTTGTCTGTGATGGGGACTTTCCTAGCATCTTTGTTTGTTCTATATGTAAAAAAATGTAGAAGACAGCTGTTCTTCCCTGTGCGTTCCCACACTCCTTACTGTTACGGACAACAAGCAAAGAAGCGGGACAAGTTGCAGCTCAACTGCCATTGCTGCATTCATTTATTCCTGCAGACCTTTCCATGCCAGCTTTGTGTTCCTGCCTTTTGCCCTAAAAGGGTTTGCAGTTGGCCATGCCTTAGAAGCTCTACTCGTTCTCTCCTAAGGCAGCCGATCGTTCTGGTTAGCTTCTTAGGGTTTACCAGAGGACGGTTCCAGGCTGTTATTCCTGAACCGGACTAGAAAGCCTAAGACTTGCCGAGAAGGCAGTGAAAGAGGGGAGCACACGTGGTGCCCTAGGGTCTTACCTGAGCTATTCTTCCCAGTGAGGAGCATACACAAGTCTCCTGGCTGTGAGGTTGCCCCATGTCTTCCCGTTGTGTAATCTCTTCTCGTGCTCACCCTTTGCCCCAGAAGCATGGCCCCTACTGCACTAAAAATGAGAGCAGCAGTGGTGGAAAGCAGTACTTTAGGTCTCTTAGATGTAGCTTAAAGGTCACCCAAAAGATGTATGGCACTGAGACTTGAGTGGGTGTGCTAAGGCTTTTCCATAGCCAGATAGGTAAGCAGAGCCAGGCAGCGGCAGCAGTGCCTTTGGGTTAATGGTCTCTTCCGGTCCTGCACTGCTGTCTGAGTGGTGGTACTGCACTGCTGTCTGAGCTAACCTTGTTTGTTGCTTGTGCTCTTCCTAAGCCTCATCTTACTCCTCCAGGTCAGCTAGCTTACCTCCTTTCCCAGATTTGTCGGCTGTGAGCTGAGGCGAGCCGGTGGAGCGGACTGGTAATGTCTAGAAAAGCAGTGGAGCTGTTGGTGTGGTGAGGCTCTCTCGGAAAGGGAAGGGAGCCTTCCCATTGTTAAGGTTTAGAAATACTTGGGATGTCATTGAGGTGAGTAAAGAAGGAACTCCGTTTAAATGAGGGGAGAAAAGAGGTCAGAAGGAGGAGTGTTTGAAAGTGCCTTTTCTGCAGAAATGGGTAGCAGTCATAAATGGAAAATTTGCGTGGCCCTCTCAGGAGTTACTGTACTAAATTTGGAAAACAGAATTTAAGGTACAAAACAAAGGGATTTCAGTCTTGCTTTAAATGTAAATCTCAATGCAGTCTGAACTGTGGACTTAATACTGATGCATCATAGTGCCTATTAATCCAGTTTCATCTGTCATGAGGAGATTTGTGATTAGAAGCCTCCAGGTAAAGGCTGCTCATGGACTGTTGCTGCTCTTCCAGCCTGTGGGCTGGAAAAATGAGCTCCATGCCTTGCCTGGAGCTCCTGAGCTCTGTGTAATTTCACGGCCACTGTCCTCCTAGGATTCAGTTTAGCTCTTTGCACAAAGTCCATGTGTGTAGATTTTTGTGCTAAGAAGAATGACTTTCAGAACAAATGGTTATTCTTTTATAGCAGTTATGGAAGTGTAATTGTGGTATTGATGGTAGAAAGTCAACATCGTTTGAAATGGGAGAATAGAAATGGTTCACTGAACTGCTGGTAAACCATAAGCTGTTAGTTCTGTTCACCTTGTCAAAGCTGGTATGGAATGGGAGGATTTTCCTGAGGAATTTCTGAAATTCTGTGAAGTAATGTCAATTTTTTGAGTCGCAGAATTATGTACCGTTTGAAGGATTGCCTAACGTGGTTTTCCTCATTGCCCTTAGTTGCCTCTTGCATCCACCCTGAGTTCCAGAGTGTGCAGTTCATTTGCTCTTGAGCTCACCAGCAGCTCCATGAGGTGGCTGCTCAGATCTGAACTGCTCTTGCCGTCCGTTCTGTTTTACAAGCACCAGCATACAGAGAACGATACATACAGCTGGTGGGTTTGGATTTTTGGATTTTTGGTCTTTTTCTGGGACTCCATCTCTTTTCCTGAAGAGATTATTCGTAGGTATCCTGGTGCTGCCACATACAGTTTCTGTTGGCCTCCTCATTTCATTTTCTTCTACTAGAGTTTAATCAAAGATTTACAGCGAAAGCCTGATCCTTCAGATGCTTCTTGAATAGAAGTTGAGTTCCATTTGTTACATCTCTACATTTGCTTTGAGTTGCTGAAGAAAAAAATGCATGTTGTAAAAAAAAAAAAACGCAAAAAGTGCATATTGTAATTTCTGCCTTAATTTTACTGTTGGTTACCAGTCTCCCAGTGCCCCTAAGCATGGATGTATTCTTGCATCTCAGTTTTGGGGTGAGGCATGTTGCATGTTGTCAAAATACCTTCCCCCCAATTTGTGTAAATTGTTCTGTAAGTGCTGACTTTTAGGTTACTGCTGTGTGTTTTTTCAAGTGCATCGTGATAGTAGAGCCAGAGTAGTGTTAGCAGACCAGCTCCATTCTTTAGTTCTGTTACTTGCCTGACCAACTATATATTACATGCTTTAGACCTTATTGATTGGTGGTTTAGCTTAACACAGTAATACTGGAAATTATCCGCTTGTAGTTGTGAAAGTCATTGTAGAGTGAAGAGGTATGTGTGTGAGGTCCTGCAATTCTCTGAAGAGTTTATTTTTTTGCAGGATAACTGTGGATAACAGGTTTTATGAAGCTGAAACTCTGCAAATGTTTTTCTGCAGCCATAAGGGTAGAATACTACTGCAGTTTGTCCCTTGGGAGCCCGTAGAGCACAATTGTTACATTGCTGTATGGTATTTCATTTCCTAAGTATCAGTGAAGTGCAGGCCTGTTAGCAGATGGGACAGGCAGGTGAATTCAGAATAACTTTTTTAAATTATATGTGTTGTAATCTGTCACTGCTTTTGCTTTGTCTGTGGATATTGCTCCCATAATTGAGATCAGTGGAAGCATTAGATCCTTTCTACGTGAAATGGGGAATACTGTAGAAATACTTTGTTCTGAAACACCCTTTTATTGATCCAGCTTCATTAATTCTCTGGGTTTCTGTGAAGCACTTTCCTTCTTTACTTTCCTTTTACAGTGCTCCACACTGCTGTGGGGGAAAACAAGAAGAATTAAAACTGATGAGCTCTTCTTGTCTTCTTCAGGGGATCAAGTATTCAGTAATTCTTCAGGGTGTTTTGTGATCATTTTGATCTGAAGATATAAGAGTCAAGTAGAAGCAGTGAGCAATATTGAATGACATTCTTGGGAACAAACATGAAGAGGGAATGCTGAAAACAAGCTGGCTTCATGCTTGAATCATCTTTTTTTTTGTAGCTGCATCGCATCTATCTGCTGATTTGTTTTTTCACAAATGTTTCCATTAACTATTAAAAAGTAGAGCTTTTGCCCTTTTTTCCATATCTGGTCTTGTAACAAGAGAAAGAAATCCTGTCCTCTGAGTTGACAGCCTTACGGAAGGATGGGTGGTGGGGAATGCATCTGGACATCAGCGTTGTGGTGCTCATCTTCTCTCTGTTCTTACTGTTTGCAGGTTTTGTTATCCGTGATGGCGTCAGCTCTACCCAGAACCCTTGGGGAATTGCAGCTGTATCGAATACTACAAAAAGCAAATCTCCTATTCTACTTCGATGCCTTCATTCAGCAGGGTGGTGATGATGTCCAGCAGCTCTGTGAAGCAGGTGAAGAGGAGTTTTTGGAGATAATGGCTCTTGTAGGCATGGCTAGCAAGCCTCTTCACGTCCGAAGGCTGCAGAAGGCTTTGAGGGACTGGGTCACAAACCCTGGTCTTTTTAACCAGCCTCTCACCTCCTTACCGGTCAGCAGCATTCCAATCTATAAGTTGCCAGAAGGGTCTCCTGCGTGGCTGGGGATATCCTGCAGCAGTTATGAAAGGAACAGCAGCACCAGGGAGCCTCACCTGAAGATTCCAAAGTGTGCTGCCACGACGTGTGTGCAAAGTGTGGGTGCAAGCAAATCCGATGTGGTGGGGAACTTGCCACTGCAGAGCGGCAGCGAGCCGAGGCTCTGGCAAGGACACCACACCACAGAGAGTGAACATAGTCTTTCTCCAGCTGACCTTGGCTCTCCAGCTTCACCAAAGGAAAACAGTGAGACCCTGGATGCTGCTGCTGCTCTGTCAGTTGCTGAATGCGTAGAACGTATGGTTCCCTCCCTGCCCAAAAGTGACTCGAACGAAGTCAAGGAGTTACTGAAAACAAATAAGAAACTGGCAAAGATGATTGGTCACATCTTTGAGATGAGTGATGAGGACCCTCACAAAGAGGAGGAGATCCGGAAGTACAGTGCAATATATGGCAGATTCGACTCAAAAAGAAAGGATGGCAAGCATCTCACCCTCCACGAGGTAAAAATCTTGAGTGACAGTGGGCTTCCTCCCTTTTTCCTACACCTTTTATGAGCTGCTGTTCACAGGGTACACTTTTTTGTGCAGGCACTTTTCACTGGGTTACAAGAGCTGTGTGTCCTACTGGAGCCGTAGGCAGTCCTGCCCTGGGATAGAAATCTTAAGTGCAGAAGTCCCCCTTATTATATGGGTGTGTGAATGTGTGCACCGATGACTTCAGCTGGGCGTCATCAGACAGCTTGGTCACTGGTGTAGCCTGTCAGACAGAGGGTTTAAACAGTTTGGCACTGAAATAGCAAACCAGCGTTGCAGTGAGCGTGGCCCTTGGGATTCTAAGCACTTGGCACATTTTTAAAGCAGTCCTGGCTTGGTATTCCCTTTCAGCTTTGAGAGTAGACTGGTTGTTTGGAAGATTAGTAACTAAAATTGCTTGTGTCTGGGAAGAGGATCACCTGGCTTGGTTATTACACTGTGCTGTCTTCGCTTACCTCGAGACCCTGCTGTGTAGCTTGTGCCCTCAAGGTAAAAAGGATTTTGCTGATGAGGTCCCTAAATCCAGTGGATGGGAATTTTTGTGTTTGGTTTGGGATGATGCTTAACTATACAACTTGCAGGTTGTTTTGGGCAGTGATCTTAAGCTGGACAAGTGAAGTGCAGGCTGTGTGAGGAGGAAGGGAAAGGGCTGTCTCCAGTATTGATGGGTAGCTGTAATTTGAAGGTTTGTCCTTTAATACCTGAATAGCATCTGTTCCATCTTGTCCTTAAAAGACCATTTGGACCTCCTTCGCTTCTCTTCTGGTATTCTTGAGGCTCACACTGCGTATGTTGTAACGCAGTAGGTGTGTCTGTGTGGGGAAGGGCTTGCCAGAGCCAAAGTACAGTGCAAGAGGAGAACAAACATTAATTCAAAGCAGTGCCAAAACACTGTTGATATGAATGCTGCATCAGCATTTTCACAGTTAACAGGGATTGCAAAATTTCAGTTGGATTTAAAATTTGGCATGTAGGGCTTAGCTCCCAAAAGGAAAGGCAATGTTTATGTTACAGGAGTGCCAAAAAAGCTGTACTGGCTTAGACTTTTTTCACTTCAAGAAGAAGTTTTGTAGGTGTGTGATCTACAGCATAAGACTAGGTTCTCTTTATGCTTCTGAGTAAAAGGGCAGGGGGAAACAAGATTTACTTCTTTACATTTTGGTTTATGTATTTGCATTTATAAGGCAACTGCACATCAGCAGCAGAGACTTCCCAAGGACTTTTAGTACAGACTGAGGAGACACTTCCAACAGACTTTTCTACCACAGTTTTAGCTGTGCAGCTTTTACTTACGTGTATTGTGGCTTATGTGGAACACTTACAATCTACGAATTCATCCAGTATGCAAGAACAGATCTCATCTTACTCCCCTGACCTTGTGGAGAGCAAGTTGTGTGTGAGATGGAGGCAAGACTTGAAAGGATTAATTATGTAGATGCCCTGTATATGTTGCTTCAGGGTTCAGAGAAAGGGGGTTCTCCCCACCTAGGCATGGAGGCCGTCAAAGATGTACAACATGTGAAGCTGTGTGCTTTCACAGTCTCTCTCTGGGGCTGCAGAATATACTCTGAAATCTGGGCAGACTTCTTGTAGGATAATTCCCTGGCAATGGGAGGTGGGCACCAGGGGCAGATGTTGTGCCAGGCGTGTGATAGGCTGAGGAGTGGCTCTGTGAAGCTGGAGAGTAGTGTGGTGGTGGTTTGAAGGAGCAGGGTAGCAAAGAACCAGAGGAAAGGATGACTGCTCTACCTTGTTAATTATATTTTTTAGTACTGCACTAAAGAGCTTTACAACATCATTGTAAAACCGTGTTTAAAAATGGAATGAGAGCATGGTTTGGCTTTAGGAAATGTTTCTATCGCTATTATGATTAAGGGCATGAGATCAAAGGAGTATGTGGCTGACTTATGCCTCACTTACACATGTGGGGCCTTGCTGAACTTGATGGGAACTGCACACATGCAAGCAAGAAGAATTTGCTCATAATTGGTTTACTGTTTGCTTAAAGAGGCCGGATTTCACAAAGTTTTGTCTTGAGTGGTCTTTGTTTTAAAGCAGTAAATATACAAATAGTAGCAATGAGACCATCTTTTTTGTTTGTTTGTTTGTTTGTTTAAAATCTGCTAAACCAGGGTTTGCCTTTTGTAAACTCAACTTCAGTGGATTTTTGGTTTTGATGGCTTAATTTGCTGCTCAGAAGGAAGGACCTTAAACAACCAGGGAGGTAAGTTTCTACTTGTCCAGAGACTGTTTCTGCACGTGTTAATACATTCCAAGACTGTCATTCTGCATCACAGTTCAAGATCTCTCCTTGCAGCTGGCAATGAACAGCTGAATAAACTTCACTGTGAATTTAAAAAGCTTAAATAGTGGTTAGCTTCTTAATGTAAAGATCAGGCTATGTCTGGCTCCTGAAGCAGAGTGGAGATGCATGCAAATAAAAATCAAATCTGATGGAATTATTGGCAAATTAGTGAGAGTGTTCTCTGTTTCAGTATGAACATTGGAGTGTCTCAGAGGGCTTGGGCAGCTCGTAGAGGCCAGTGGGAGCTGTAGACACTGAGCTGGTCTGGAAGCATGTGTTATTGGTAGGATTATCTCTATAAGGCACTGATGAGCCTAAAATCTCATGCAGAATCTTTCAGAGATATCCCAGAACTAATAAACTTCCTGTCTGTAATCCATCCCACTGTCTTGGTATTACACAGCTTTTCCAGCATGGAGAGCCCTTAAAGTTGGACTGGAAAAGTGATGAGTACAAGCCATGCCCTTGAACTTGGTGACCTGTGCATGTTTGAGTCAGATTTGTAATTTGTCTTAATGTTTCAGTGCTTGTCTAGGTACCTATAAAACAAACAAACAAATCCTGTTTAGTAGTGGGAGAATCAGAAATAAGAAATGAAAGTAAAAAAAATTTGTCTAGCTCGACCTCTTCCTTTTGTTTTACTGACTCGCCAAAACAGTAGGGCTTGGTATTTATTTGTGTTTTGTAGTGAGGGAATCTATGAACCCCATCAGGTGGGAATGTACCCATCCCTCTCCATACAGCCTGTATGATTGTGTGCTCCTCTATATCATTCAAGCTTCCAACAACCAAAATAATTATTTTTAGGCGTGCAACACTTTCTAGCCACAGTATTGTGCCTCCTGAAAAGGCAGGATGCCATAATGCACTTCAGTTCTGTAAGTCTGGATGTGACCTGAAAGAAGAAACCAGGAAAAACAAACATTTGGCTTTTCTCATACATTAGGATAAACAGCACTTGCTTACAGCCACCCAAAGCACTTTCAGTGATTTCAGCTTCTTGCAGCCTTTCAACACTTTGACGGATAAAAACCGTCTCAGATTATTTTGTAAGCATTGGCCATGCTATTCATCCTTGGCAAAGTACTAGCTATCACCGTTACAGAAATTAATGCCTGCTTTGGGTGGTAATACTTTGTGTCAGCGTTGTAGTTATCTTTTATTTTTGTATCTTTTATTTTTTCCCTGTGTTTTTTTTTCTGAGATGATAGACATTGTAGAACAACTGCTCTTGTCTAAGGGGTAACAGTTACTTCAGTACATTGTGGGAGCATAGTAACCTTGAGCTGTTTCACAGATTAAATCTAAACTTCCCACCCTTGTACATCTGATCTCTGAGGGTTTTTTCTGGTCTGTACAGAAACCAAAGGATCAGACAACATATCTAGTTCACCTGTTAAAGACATGTTTGCACTCTGATTAGTATTCGGGTATCTTAGGAAATGCCCTACTCAGATCAGAGGCTTTTATACTGAACACAGGAAAAAAATGCTTAAGAAATATTAGGAACAGCAGTTCTGTTTGAGGTTTTACGAGAAATACTGCATGGGCTCAGGGCAGTGAGAGAGTCTCAGGTCTTCTGGTACATGTGTTTGGTTTTTTTCAGCCTCCTGGAGGACAAGTGTTGCATTGGGCAAAATACATCTATTTGAATTAGGATGACATCAAGCACTGCAGTCAAGTGCAGCAGGGTTGTGTGTTGTTCATATATTATGACAGCTTCCATCCTTCAGGGATGGAGTGCGTGATGTTTTGGGTGAATTGCTGTGCTTAATTCCCAAGTAACATTGTGCAGTGTGGTAGACAGCAGGGTAAAGGAGCATGATTCTTAGCCTTCTCTCAAGAGACACCATGTAACTGCAGACCTGCTGGCCTCTCTTCAGCCTCATCTTCTGTTCTCTTCCATGAAAAGCACCTCTTGTAGTGGCAGTGTTTTCAGTGGCTGAGGTCACATGTGCGTGGTCCTGTCAGCCCTTGGCCACACAACCCTGTGCACTGCACTGCGGCTGTGATTTGCTCTGCCAGATCAGGGGCTGGGGATGGTACATCTCATTCCGTCATGAATATGCTGACTGTGCTGTGGAAAACCTACTTACTTTGTAATATTCATTAGCCTGAGACAGATACAGAAAGTACTGTTGACAGGAGCAACAAAGCAGCTGTGCTCATTTGCAAGAAGCCAGGCCCATTCAAAGCAGCTTTATTTCTAGAAATAAAGAGTAGAAAAGTTGTGGGCACTCTGGGGAAAAAAAAACACCTGCAGTACTCTGGCCCCTGGCTTTTATGCCTCATTAGAAGTGCTGGCTGCTCTTCAGCTGAGGAAGAAATGAAAATGTCTCTTCTGCCTCTACTGACTGTGGAAGGAGCAGAGAATCTCCTCTCCAGCATCTCAGTTTCAGTGTCTCTCATTGTATTAATATTGTTGCTTGTCCATACTGTTGACCATAGGCTTTTCAGACCGCAGTGTTGTATATGGTGTAATCATGACAGTATTGCCACTTTCTGTAGGCTTCCGAGCACTGTGAAACCATTTTGAGCCTTAACTTTGGGCTTTTTTTCTCCTCCCCTCTTTGTGAAGCTACTGCCAGCAGCAGAGGCACTAGAAATGTGTCCTGGCAGGCTCAGGAAAACATCCTTGAAACAAGTCACATTTGATTCATGTCTGAAGATAGTCTTCACAAACACGAGGGTGAGAAACATAGCTAAAAAAAGTTTAATCGTTTCTTAAACCATCACCTTCTACAGAATCTGTGCTGTATTCACCAGGGAAAGCCATCTGTACCCACACTGTCATTTTTTTTCCCCCAAGTCCTGGGCATATTGCATTTATAAAAATAGTATTCCCTGTAAACCAGGCTTTGGGAGCCGAACACTGTGAACGTTCAGAGCTACTGTTTTATACTGAGATTTAATTAATGCTGGGATGAGGCACAGGCAGCTCACGTTGAGGGAGTCTTACAATAACATTTTTACTTTAAAGGACATTAAATGCCCCAACTACACGTTTTTCTTCCCAGAGGCTTACCTGGCTTAGTAAGAGTATAATGGAAGAAACCCTCCAGGGTTTGCTGTACATTTGTGGGTAATTTTACTTGCAGCTGAAATTTGTCATTATTTCAGAAGAATGGGTACTTTTACAAGCACAGTGGGTGAACTTATGCAAAATCATGAATCCCTGGTTTTGTGTTTGATTTCCAGCTAACAGTTAATGAAGCAGCCGCTCAGCTGTGTGTAAAAGATAACGCCTTGTTGACCAGGAGAGATGAACTCTTCGCACTAGCTCGGCAAATCTCTCGAGAAGTTACATACAAGTATACTTACAGGACCACCAAGTAAGGTTTTAATTAACTCAAAGGACCTTTATTTTCAGGGAGTGAATCAGTCAAATAACATTTCTTTTGAAGTGCTAGAGACACTTTCTTCCTGCTCTTTAGCTAGCAAAGTGTTCTTCTGAGGAAGGTAGAAAAATGCCATTTAAGTCGTGAAGCTTTCAAACTGCTAGGATTTAGCTGCCTTGAATTACCTTTTTATTTGCTCTCTCGTTTTCCAAAGTTTTTGATGATAGTGCATGATGAGAGGCATCTGAGAGGCTGGCATTCCAAGTATTTGAGGCATTTGTGTATTTCAAGGTTAATGTAAATAGGCAAAGTAGCCAAAGCTGCTCAATATATCAGTTGTTTTTTTTTACCTATACAGATTTAGCTCGTTAGTTTTCAGGGAATGAGAAAGATAAGGTCATGGGGAGCAGCTTACAAACCTGCTTTTAAGGGACTGAAGCTGACTCCTAATTTCAGTTGTTACTGTTCTGTTAAATGAACTGCTGTTATGAAACAGTAGCAAGGGTTTAATAGCTTTCAAATACAATTAAAACTTTAGAATTAATAAGTGTTACTGAAAGTCTCAATACTTTATTGTTTTTAAGTGTTAACTCCTTCATGTGTAATGCAGTGTCCTTTCAAAATACATTTTCCTATGCTTGTAGGATCTTATGATTTTCCTTTGCTCCCCTTCCTTCTGTAGTGATTTATGTAAAAATACATCCATTCTGGGTAAGCAGATTCTCCGTGCTCAGGTGCTTTCTGTTCTGTTCAGAAGAATGTCTCTGACATCTTGAAAACCACACAAGGCACTTGTATTCCTCTGTACTTGAGTGACATATACTGCCACGTCCAGGTGAATTAGAGGCTTTTTCTGTGCATCTCAGTTGTTCTTGCCCGGTTTTGTTTTTTTTTATCTTGACTCTGTTTTTCATTATTAATTCTGATGGTCAGGGTTAATGTGCTGTTTACTGACAGCCTGTGTGTCTTCTTTTCTAGATCTAAATGTGGAGAAAGGGATGAGCTGTCACCAAAGAGAATCAAGATAGAGGTAAAGTATTATGACTCCTGTGTTTTTTCACCTATGCATGCTAAAATTCACTGTTGTTTTGAAGTGAGCTATCTTAAGGAAATGTGTCAGAAAAACATGTGAAAGACAGGGTAAAAAAAAAATTCTAAGTGTATATACCTATATACCTCATAAGAATAGCAGATCTTCCTTTATGATGTGGTTTTTTTTTAACAAAGTACTGTTTCTCTGTTACATGGGTAACTGATTCATACTTAGCATTGTGTGTTTGGGGTTTTTTTTTTTTTTTACTGTCTACTCCAAAAGTTTGGGCTAAATGTGCATTTGAGTATAAGCTAGGCCCGAGTTAGCTCTGTATGTGACACAGATACATGATACATTCTTTAACTGCAGAGGAAAGTTGGAGCATATTCTGGAATGCATTTCTCATGTAACTCATTCTGTGACAAATGATGCACTGAATGCAAGGCTTTCATAATTTTTCAGCAGTGTGATGCTTTTGCCTGTACAAAGGCTTTTCCCATGAGACAGACCTCAATGTGAGCAGTTCGTTTTGAAAAGGCAGTTATGAATAGGTATATAGGAGTTAATCTATTTTATTTATTAAGTTCCATCAATCTGTATACAGTTGTAGATTATATAATACAAAGCATATACATGTGCTGAGGATTTACTCATACCTTTGATGGTAAATCAGTAGTGTCATTTACATGTGTTAGGATTTGCTTTGACATATGCTTGTTCTTCAATCCATGAAAGAGCAGAGAAAAGGTGCATTAAATCTTTTTATCCACCTTCACAATTATCTCCCTTGACCAACACATTGCGGGATGGTTGCTTGAGTCTGCCCTTTTTTGTCCAGTCTAGTCCTGATTTTTGAGAGTTGGTGGGGATCTGCTGCTCCTCTGCTTGGAATAGTATTTCATTGACTTAAATTTCAGCATTAGAGAGTTTTTCCTTCATTCAGTAATATTGATGATGGGCAGGTATCTAAAATTATATGCTGCAAAGGAGGTGCTTTTTTATTCATTGGAAGAAAAAGATTAAAATCCTGAAAAACACAGGCTGATACTTTAGGGTTTTTGGAGAGCAGGAAATTTGGACAGCCTTAGGGAAACTCTGTTCTCTTATTTTCATGCATGGTGAAATCCTGAGTCTGGAAGGGCTGCTTTCTCTAGGCACCTTTTAGTTCAGTAATTCTGAGAAAGGATGTTTACTTGGTTTCCTTCTCTCTAAAATTACCAGTCATATTTTAAAATGCTGGTGGAAGATTCATGTCCTAGCTGTACAAATGACTATTTCAGAAATAGTACTTTTTTCCACAGTAAGAAATTCAAATTAAATTAAATGAAATATTCTTTCATTTGATAGCATTATAGCATATGATTAATTATGAAGTAACCAGTGTTGTCATCAGCATACATTTTATTTTTCCCTTTGGGAGTCTTCTAAGAGTAAGTCATTACTACAGTATATTATAATGGAGACACACTGTAAGTCATGGACTTTTCTTCCAATAAATTTTAAAAGGGTGCATTATTACATAGTAACTTTTACATGTGGTGTTTCGGGTTATTGGGGCTTAGATTTCTAAAAAAGAAAGCGGCCTTTTTTTAGTAGCATGTTTGAGGATTTTTGAGGAGGCTCGTTCTTAGAAAGGTGGAGGTAAAAATTAAAATGGTAGCAAATGCTGTAGATTTTTCCTTCTGTTCTGGGTCAGAATTCTTTATCCTGTTTTTTAAGTTGTTATTTTTCATTATGGCTCTGTTAGCTCACTGTCATGCTAGTATCGTGCAGAGGATCTGAATGAGAGTGTGGTGGTGTTATAACTAGCTCTTTTTTTCTTTTTGTAAAGGTCATTTTGCCTTACTGTTTTAAGGCTGAACCCTGTATTTTTATTCACCATTCCTTTACCCATTAGTCATTAACTTCTCTGCAAAGCGTGGCCTAAAATACTAGGGCTTGAATTTGGAGAGACTTCACAACTGTTTGCATAGTGTCAAAGATTACTTTAAAAAAAAACAAAAAAGAGTTAATATCTGGAAATATAATAACACTTAGCCCCCTCACCCCCCCAAACTCCAGGGAGGCTGAAGGTCATCCTGGAGCAGAGCTAGCAGAGCTGTGTGAGCAGGCTGAATATTGCTGGGTTACAGCCACCATTGTGAATTTATCCTCTTCACGAATATGAAACTCACAAAAGCATTACAAAGAAACAATATGCCATGAATTACATCAAATTACCTGTAAAAGCCTTTCTCTTCCCCAGCGAGCTCTCCCCCTCTTATTCGTAGAGTGGGTGGGCGAGCTGTGGGAGTGAAGTGTAGAGAGGAGAAGGGAAAAATTCCAGGCAAATGACAGACTAAAGGTGTGGAGGGAGTGAAAAAGGGAATGGAATGAATTGGGATTTGGAAGCAGATTATAAGGAAAGGGTTGTAGTTTCTAAATCTACTCTGGACAAAGAGCAGGACAGGCAAATAGGGATGTGCTGTTTGCAAGCAGGCGAATAGCACATCCCCCTGCAGGGCAAGACTGTCTCCTGCATAGGTGTTGTGGGGTGGGGGCACCCCTTGTTTTGTCATCTTCCATGAGTCAGTGCCAGCACTGCTCCGAGCAATGAGCTGTTGTGGCACCAGCTTGGAAAGCAAAACAAGTCACAGGTATATCATGCAGAAGGCATGGAGGGAGAGGCTACTCATCACTGCTGCTGCTTTGTGTTGGGGTTGGCGAGGTTCCCCCTCAGTTAGTGTGAACAGCCAAGAGAGCGAAGAAAGAGAGTTTTAAAAATACTCTTGCTGTCTGTGGTATGGAGAAATTGTTCTATTTGTCAGTGTCTTCATTCAGCTGAACGGGAGGGGTGGGGAGAGCTTGCAAAAGCTAATTTCACAAAGCTGAGTGGGAGTCAGGGGCGCAGGCAGGAAGACCTGAGTGGGGGCTGTGAGGAAGCATCTTCCCTTAGTGCTGGTATGAGTGGAGGGAGAGAAAAGACCCACCTCCGCCATTGCTAAGAAGGTTGAAAAGAAAACCGAAGTGTGGGATTTGTGTTTCTCACAAAAACAGCAAAAGCTACTGTTTTCCTAGGAAAAATGTCATTAGAGGGAGCAAAAAAATCACATGTGGGACTGAGAACATCTGCTGCATGAAGCTGCTTGAAAAACAACTGAGCAGCAGCATGGGCAAAACAGAACTGCTGCACTGCATACAGCAGGCCCTTCTGACCACAGAGGTTTGAAAAGGAGCCTCTAGGCAAACGTTGTGCAGAGCAGGTTGTCAGCTGGCCTAGCCTGCTCCTCATCAGCCCTTAGATGAGGCAGCAGGGCAGAGAACAGCCAGTGATGGGGAATGGTTCCAGGAAGGGTGATCAGAACGGCATCATCATCCAAGTTATCTGCATGACTGACAGGTGACAGTCACAGCAATGGGCAGCTGGTCTTGCTTTCAGGAAGCAGTCTTTGGTTTTGTGTGATCGCATGTATGTTATAAAGAGCCGTGTTACCTGTTTTGCTGCAAAAATAGGATCCTGAGTGATAGGGGGTTTTGCGTATTCAGTTTCTGATCTTCCTACACACAGTCGTTCTCTCCAAAACAAATTCAGTTCTAACTATGAAAATGGTCAGTGCTTATGGAGATGTGCTGCAAAGCCTTTGTTTCTAGAGGATGGGGTTTTGTGGCAGTTTCCCTGGTTATAAAATTTTGCATACCTATACCTATATGTTTGTTTTTTCCCTGAGGGAGTATGATGGGTGGATAAAAGCAATATGCAGTGTTCAGACAGATACTTCTATTTAATTTTCTTTCCCTGAGCATAAAGAATAGCTTTATTGGCATTGGGTTGCATTGAGGGTCTGGCCATCATGCTGCAGGTCAGTGGGCAGCCTGCCAGTGGCATGGACCTTGTAATCCTTCCCTTGTGTTTTTTTGCAAGATTGCTGTTCTTATTCCTGGGCTGTAACTTATTTGTCCACCTAGTGTAAAAAAATGTTGTTGTTTACATGCATGAGCCTCTAGAATCCACAAGGAAAATATGTCTAATTTGGCATATTTGATACGTGGACGTACGTATCCTCAGTGTCACTGTTTTCAGGTGTTGGTCTGATTTAGATCTCTTGCTTCCTTCCACATTTTAACAGTCACCTATATATGCTGTTCTTTTGTAAACATTTATGGATGTTCCTTTCTTTTACATGGGCTTTCCTTTTATAATGCCGAGCAGGATAAATTTTCTCATCTTAAACCTTTGCTTCGATGATTAATTTATTTTAATGGAGTCTGGCACGTTTTCACAGGAACTTTATTTGCTTTATGGGTACATATGCAAGCTGCAAAAGATTTGCATGTCATAAGCGTTTGAGACTTAAAAAAATTGAATGATGATTTCCCATAGTATATAAAGCCTTAGCTACCCTGCTTTTAAAGTGATGATATTTCATTTTGTGATGCTACTGTAGGTTCTGTGTAAAACACCTTGAATTTCAGGCGGCTTTGCTAAGTTTCACGAGGTTAGTATATGCAGCTGCTGTGCCTTGATCTTGACTAGATATAAGCTTGATTTCTTAAGAATCTCCAAAGCTGCTGTATGTAACAAGTGACAGAAACCACAGGCCTAAATCTGCCTGGCAAGGCTGAATGTAAACTAGTTTAATGTCAGTGGCAACACTAGGCTGCATTCACCTGAAACTGTGAGAGATGACTTTCTGTGTATGCCATTTTAGATATATAGCGGTTGGTGTAGAGGGGTTGTCTGTGTTTTATGCACAAACCGTGTGAATAGCATAAACATGTAAATTGCAGCCCCGAATTTTCTCAGAAGTTTTCTCAGGAATGTGTTTTTTGTTGGTTCTTTCCTTTTTTCTTTTGAGTATACAGAGAGGGTGATGAAAAATCAGTAATATGTCCCTCTTGCTGTTTGGTTTCTTTTTATGCTCAATAGGATGGTTATCCTGATTTCCAGGACACGGTCCAGACACTCTATCAGCAAGACAAAATGCCACTTGCTTTGGCTAAAGGGAAGAATGAAGACTCAACAGCTCTTAATTCCCAGGTAAACCAACTAGACTACACTGTGAATAATACAGTCATGTCTTTGTACATTGATTTTGGTGTATTGTTTTGATGACTAAAGTAATTACCATCAGTTTTCAAAGGCTGCCAAGCATAGGTGTGATTGCATCACTCTTAATTGGGGTTTACTGCTGGAAGTGTTCTGACACAGTACTACAGCTTTAGCCTTGATAGTTCCAAGGAGGTAAGATCTAGTGTAGTAGGCTTGAAAAATACGTGACTGCCTGTTGAGAGCAAGTGGGGTACTATTGGTACAGTATGTGCTGTGTTACTTGCGTTATTAGCTATAAATGGAAAGTTCAAGTTACTGAGTGTAGAGGAATAGAGTAGGCGATCTTGGAGTCCTCAGTTCTGACGTTTCTTACAAGAAGAAAGGCCAGTATAATGAGGAAATACAGAACTTCTGGATCCGAGAGGATAAATTGCCTAAATAACATCTACCCTTGTGGCAGTGCGTTGTTTTCAAGTTCCCAGAAAGCTTTCTATAAGTGGAAGACAGGTTTCAGATGCTTTGTCTTTTCTGTAGTGTATCCCAGCCTTGAGGCAAAATATGCATCTCCTGCTGCCAGTTGTTGCCAAGGAGGGATTTTATGCTAAGTTGCAACAAATTGTATTGCTGATTTGAGCAGCTGTAATCACCAAATTTTCACGTAAGATTACGGAGTTACATTCCTGTTTCCTGAGAGTGGATGTGTTGCCCTGTCTTTTACCTTCTTCTGTTGCATAGTAGTGTACAGTGATACAAATGTGTTCATTGTGGTACATCAAAAAACAATCATGCTACATGTTCTGGTGTCACATAATGATGACCTTCACTTGATTTTCGCAAGCTTATTTTCATCATGTATATGCTTTAAAGCTTTCATTGGTCACTGCTATGTAACAATGGACTAGAAATTTATTTTAAGCTTAAAGATATCTGCGACTATACAGGGTTTTCTGTGGTGATAAGAAGGTCAAAGTTTTGGGGTTGTCCCAATTAAATAGCAAAAATGGCATGAGTGAGAAATGTTTTACTCTTAGAAAACTATTGTGAAGTTCAGAAGTTGTAAGAGGAGTGATGGAATAGCAAAAAGCACACTTGAAAGTAAACTGAGCAGTTTCTTCTTTTACTTGCCTCCCAAGACCAAGCCTGAGCTATCAGTGTTCTTCTGCAGAACCTGATGAGCTGTAAGCCAGAGTAAGTAAATACTGGTCAAGTCATTACCCTGCTATCAGGGCATGACTGTGCTGCAGAAGCTCAGATTTTGCTGGTCTGTTTTGCTTCCATTGTATTTGTAAATTGTTGAACTATGCTGGATAAGCAGACCTTCATGGGAAGTCAGGGCTTTCATCATCTCCCAAGAAAAGTCCTCTGCAGTTAACGGGCCTGTGTACCAGTTGAAACGATTATTGCATTACCTCATAGAGAAATGCCTTTTTCCCAATCAGTTGTAGATGTTAAGGTTGTACACTTTCTGTTCCTGTGTTCATCGTGGCTCTTCAAAATCAACTTTCTTGACTTGTGATTTTATTTTTGCAAGATGCTTATTTACATTCTCAGGAACAAGATTATAGTGAAATTAGAATTCTCTTGGCATTAAAGTCAATGACAAACATTCAGACGCCATTTCCTCCCACATTGCACCACATTGTTTAGTTTCACTCTCGAGAGGTGTATAGGTCTTGTTCTTCTTCTAGACAGACATTTCACACCTTTATCCCCCACAAACATACTGCGATCCTACACTTTCAGAATGGCAGATTTTTAAGCTTGTGTAGTGCTGTTGCCTAAAATAAAGATTCCAAGATGTCTGGTGAAATCTTGGCATAAGTTTTTAGCAGATGTTGCCATTGCTCTTGGAATACTTTTTGGAATACTTTGTGAAGACATATATTTGAACAGAGCTAACTGATAATTAAGACGTTATTTTCTGCTTTTCTTGAGATTCTCTCAACGTAACCTGCAGTCCTAAACTGCAGAAAGTGGTTTCTGTGTTTTCAAAGAGTAGAATTTAATGTTGCATTTCTGTGTGGATGAACTACAGCAGCTTGCATTTTAAGTACTCTTGAGTGACTCAGAAGAACAGTATGAAAATCTATGGGTGCAAAAATATTTTGTTTGCTAGGTAGTTTTGAAGAAACCGTAAAACACACATCTGTACATATGAGTCAACAAAAAACTATATCTAGGCTGTTAGTCTTATCATCTGATGTTTTTCTTTCCTGTGTTTTGACTCACTGTATGTATGTATATAGAGAGATATCTTTTTTCCTTTATTTGCAGTCAGAAAAGGTGATGGCAAAACAGATGGAATTTCTTTGCAACCAGGCTGCATTAGAGAGACGTCTTTCCACAGGGTGTTACAGGCAAAACTCAGAAGAGCACAGCCCGAATGGCATGTCATTAGATAACACTGATGGACAAGGTACGGTAGCTTCCAGGCATGGTGTTGCTGCCAGCAAATACATTTGGTATTATGCAACTTTCCTCAGTAGTGTTATTTATCTAGTATAGAACACTGAGCGCTGAATGGACAAGTCAGGATCTCTGCCCTGGAGTGCTTAGTCTAAGTAATGCAATCAGATGTACAGTCACATTCTGCTCTGTTACTCTAATGTAGCCAGGCAAACTGCTTTCTCTATGGATAGCCCTGTGGGGAGGGAAAAAGGTAGGGTGCATTAGTGTTACTGAGAGTAAACCTTGGCTCTAGCTTTATCCTAAGTTTTCAAAATAGAGCAGGATGTTGCATTTTGTTTGTGTTCTTGCTTTGTGGAAGTTGAAAGTAGAGCAGGATCATGTAGTTGGTACCCCTTTTTGTTTACTTGGTTGTGCAGTCTAGGAACAAAGCCTGAAGAGCTGACTACGTAAATAACTTAGAATTAACGAGATTCTAATGGTGTCCTTAAGAGCTTGTTATTCTTCAAAAAGCTTACGGTTTAGTGGCTCTCTCTTTGATTTACCAACTGGCTGTTCCTTAGCTTAAATTAATTGTCGGAGTGTTTGTTTTGTTTGACTGTTTTCTGTTTAGATTTCTTTTTTTACTGTTGTGAAGGGAGATAAAATGTTTTAAGCGCAAGAAATAAAACCATAAGTTTTTGTGTATGGTGTTTTTTTACAGCTAGTTTAAGGGGGGAGATAAACAGTAGAGAAGGCAACTAAAGGAATCAATAGAAGTAAGCATTAAAACAGGTTTTCATATGTGTGTATTGGTCAGGCAAAGTGGTACACAATTATACAGGAAGTATTGGGGCGTGTGGCTCCAGCTGTTCTTGATAGTGCTAGCTTCTTTATGCCATTTTTCCATTGTGCAGTGGGAGCTGGAATTTTTAGGATCTCAAAGAGATTTTTGAGCAGAAGGAGAGTTTTAATTTTACTTTTGGTATGGCTGAGTGTCCCTTTCCAGCAAATCTGTGTCTGCAAAGCAGCATATTTACATAAGCTTTGTTTTTCTAGAAACCCTCCATGAGCAGCTGGAAATTAGGATGCAATTTTCCTGATAGAATTAGTATGTCTTTAAGTCCCTACCTGTTTAATCTCTGATATTGCTTTGCTTTTAATGGATCAATGTTTCACTGTGACCAACTTCCAGGTGAAAGACCGCTGAATCTCCGAATGTCCAGTCTGCCAAGTAGACAGTTGCAGCACATTTCACTTGATGGAGAGCAGCATGTTGGAAAACCTCTGTGCGGTGATCTGATACGGCTTTACCCCAGTGGTGAGGCAAAGTCCCAGTCTTCAGGTTAGTGCTGCTTCTTGTAAATTACCCATTGTTTCTTAAAAGGCTGTGATGAATTAACAGACAATGTCTCCAGGTGAAGAAGCTAGTAGCTCAGCCTGGCATGCTTTGTGTGTAACCTTTTAATCAAGACTTTGGACAAAACTTCCAGAGGAGTGTTACTTGTTAATCTAGAATCAGATTGAATATTATGTGGGAAAAGTTTACAGGGTGCAGTAACTAAGTTCAGATAAGCAAGTTCTGGCATGTGTCTGTCCTCAGAAAGTGGTATTGACCCAAACTACTGCTTTTAAATACTTAGGTTGCTGTTGTACTGCAGTTTGATTATAACATGGTTTCACCCTTTATAAAGAATCTGACTTTTTTATAAAATGTTTTTTTATTCTGGTTTATGAGGACCTAGTGATGTTCAGTTTTAACACAGCTGGGCTAAAGCCCAGCAGGAGGAGGCAGAATTCATTGCTTCAACTGTTAGTATCCATATGGTTCATGGTCCTTTTTCTTGAATTAAGAGCACAATATATTTTTTTCCAAGCAGTGTTTTTAACATAATGTCCTGGGTTCAGCAGGTTCATTATTCTTTTTTTCTTTTTTAATGCAGAAGGTCTTGGTATTTTAAAGGATTTTCCTCATTCGGCTTTTAACAACATAGAAAGGAAGGTCATAAAAACAGAACCTGAAGACACAAGATAGTCATTCTGCTCTGGAAAATGGTGTCGTAATAACGAATGAAACTTCACAAGAGAAAAAAACCAGCCTTAATAACCAGTGTTGCCTCATTCAAATACGAGATTTCAATAGCCAAAGCCTAAGAACTGGTACAGTAATGTGTGGAAACAGGAAAGCAAGAGACACTGCAAACTAAAACAGTAATACAGGTGGATAAACATTCCTGTAAAAGTGGTTTTATAACATGGGAAGATTCACAAATTAATATTGTGGGTCTTCATTATTTAAGAATGTATTATGTATTTGTATAACTTATCAAAGTAAATCTAGATGTTGGGACGTGTATTGAGTCCAGTAGATGTGGCTACAGTTCATTTTACTTGAAATTTCAATGTCTATTTTAAGTGTACCTAGCGTAGATATGGTTGTTAAACATTTGAATTAAAATTCATTGGAGAATTAGGAATGCGAACCTTGTGACACAATTAACAGCAAGTTTGCAACAATAGTGTAGAAAAAGGAAAATGCATAAAATATTTCATGGTTTAAAATGTTATGTGGATATAGCATTTGATAGACCTAGACCCTGATTCTGTATTATAGCGGACGTACTTGACACTTAACTATTGTTACATCACTTTCAATGGTTTCAGCAGCCTTTGTGTAACACACTTACAGCATAATACTTACCTACAGCTCAGGAGTGTAGAGAATGCCAGTTGGAAGAGGCCATATGATTGGCTCCCATTTCCTTGGGGGGAAAAAAACTATGGTTTGATAATACTGTACAATTACTGAAATCTCAGCTGGTGGGAAACCCAAGAGACAATGTAGCATGGACAGGGCTGCAAAAATTGTGATTCAGACCATTATAACTTTTTGGACTTCTCTGTGGATCTTTCAAAAACAAAAAGCATCCTAGGTGTGGCAGAGATGAAGTATGGTGCATGATTTATGCATTGATGTAAAAGGTTGCACTTGATATCCAGAAACCATAAAATCTTTTGGAGGAGAAGACGAGGAGTTACATCTTTAGCGTGTGACTCCTAATTAAGTGCTGTCCAGCCCACATGATTCTATGAATATACCGTATACTGCATACAGTATGCCAATACGTTTCTTTATATATGTGATTAATTAACATCTGTATTCTTTATTTATTTGACAGTTTTTATTTTTTGTACATTTTCACTTTTGCAGATGTCATTTTATCTAAGGAGAAATAGTCGGCATATAACTTTGGAATTTACCATGGCGTGTTTGTGTGCATCCGTTTTCCCTCTGTGCAACTCCCTCAATAAGAGTTGCTTTCCAGCAGTCAAAACAGTTATATGCCTCAGTTTCTGAATACAGTTTTTGCTTACAACATGTTCTGGAGGGGAAAGGGAGGGCTGAAGACAGTAAGTTACCGTGCCAGCAGGTAAACTTCCATATTCAGGTGTGCACTTCATGTCTGCAGTTTGCTCTGTGTCATAGATGTGTATTAACGATTCAGTCACAGTCTGTGTTGTACTGAAACAGTCAGCAAAATGTGAGCTGAAATGTCTACACTGCAGTCTCTTATCACTGTAAACATATCTAATTATTTTATCACTTGATTTGTGGAACAAAGCTTTATAGTAGAAACACCAGTAAACAACTTTTTATACTATTCAAATGTTTGTTTTTTTAAAAAATGTTTCTTGAACTGTATGGTACTGTTTCACTTACTGAAGTATCTTTAAGCAATGGAGTTCGCAGCTTTGCTGTTAGAAATAAGAGACTGAATGTGTAGTTATATTTCCTCTTTCCTGTTGTGTGAGCTAGTGATGCAGATAAGATTGTAACGTTAGCCAGTGCCCTGGTTAGTATCTGAGTAGCTTTCATGAGACATGTATGGAACTTGTTAAAGGACAGCTTAAGGTTTGAACTGTACAGCTGGTGTGATAGAAGGTACCAAGCAACAAAACTTTAGAGATGCAGAAAATGTTCTGGTTTTTCAACACCTGGCACAATCAACAGTTGTATGGATCGCAGAAGAAGCTCTTAAGCTTGCTGGTCTCTTCGATTAAAGTGAGAGGAAGAAAAAAGAACTTGCTAAGCAGCACGCTGTTTCAGTTGAGTCCAGAATTTATTTTGTAAACACTAATGTATTAAATTTGCTATAAATTAAAGTATATAACAGTTATATTTTTGAGTTGTAAATACAGTACTTTGTGTCACGACCAGTTGGTTCTCTCCAGGGTGATATTTCAGTCTATAGTCCAACAGGCCATTTCAGTCTCAATAAGCTGGAAGCAATTTTTTTTACTGGTTTGCAGCTGTATGATAATTACTTTTTTTTAACTGGGGGGGGGTGGGAGGTGCATTCCGAGTTTGCACATACATTTGGTAATAGCAAATACTCAAGCATTGGTCTTTCCATGACAGAGGTCTTGGTGGACTGCAACTGGGCTTAGCCTCTGGAGCCGCAGGTGAAGGCTTGCCATCATCTGCTCTGGAAGGGTTGGTAGATTCAGGGTACCCTGGATCAAAGGCCAGCCCTGCAGATGATGCCTGTTCTTATTCACATGTTTATATTGTTGCTTACAAAATAAAATTCACCGTGAGAACTCTGTAGTTTCCTCAGGGTTTTTCCTTCTTTTTATTTTAATGGTGTTCTCTGAAAGGAGATGTTAATTTTCTGGGGATAGGGGAGGAGGGAGCAGCTCTCTGTGGAGGAAACCTTTTCCTTCTCTTGTGGTTGAGCCCTCATTTATGGGTGGCCATATGTGCACAGCCTGCAGGGCTGTAGTGGGCCAAGGGAAAGGGGGATGAACTGAAACCCAGGAAGGGTCTCTGCAGCATGGCAGTCTTACCTAATGCTCTTTCCACCTCCTGCTTTTGTGTGTGCTTACATTGGCGCAAAATGAAAGCAGCAGATCTGCTAGGAGGTGGTACCAGGCAGTTAGAGATGATCTTTGGGACTTCGGGGTCAAAGCATTGCTGCTCAGCCTGCCCTCAGGTGTCTTGGTGGTCCACCCTGTTTCACTGGCTTTACAAATGGTGGCTCTCATATCAGCTAAAGTGTTGCTGGAGGACAGAAACCAAATGGGAGATGGGGTATAGAAAGGGGAGAGAAACAGACCAAGGATCAAAAACATCCAAAAGAAGTGGAGGAACCCACCAAACACTTTGAGAAACATGCAGGTTGCTGAGTTGGCATAAAAGTCGGGTGCAATTCAAAGCAGAGGGGCTCGGCCTGGTGGAGTCAAGAGTGAAGTGCAATGCCCCTGACTTCTCCCAGCTCAGAAGAGCTTAAATGTGGGAAATAAGAACCAGTGGCTTAGTGTTTGCTGGGTTTTGTCTGCACTTCCAACGTCAGCTTGCCCTTTTCCTGGAGAGGGAGGAGGAGGAAGGAAGGAACTGGGTTCTACTGTCTTGAAGGTGCAAGGCTGGGACAGAATATGCCACGGTTAGTTGATCTTCCAGGCTGCACGCAAGTATAACTGGAAAACCTTTAGATGTTGTTTTTGGCTTGATCTGAGCTGAGCAGTGGGTGCCTGCAGTTCAGTAAAGGCACAGTACGCTGGACAGGTATGGTCCTACTAGGGCCTACAGGCTTGTGGCAGCCTCACCAGGTTGTGTCTCAGCAAGGTGCTGTGAAGCTCTGGTGCTGTGAGGTCCTCCATTGGAAAGCGCTGTTGGATTAAACAGCCATAACAGAAGGGTCATTAATGTTCATCTGAAATGTCAGGAGGTGCGAGTTTCTCATGCAGCCAAAAAACGTCATTACTGATAAAACTTTTATTGCTGGTTACCTGCCTAAAGCTCCTGTGTCTTCTAAATAAGCAAGTTGTATGAGGGTCAGCAGGGAAAACATCTGCTCACAGCTGTGCCTTTGCTCATGGCCGTCGCTTTGCCCATTGTAACTCATTCCCTCTGCATTTTCTCTTCAAAACTCAGAAAATGGCAAATACCAGGTTCAGACTGGTGGTGAAAGGTCTTCCAACGAGCCACAGTTAGAGCAAGAACACTCGCTACTGCAGTAACTGGGATTTGGTGAAGCTTTGGCTTGGATCTGGGCTCCTGAGGTGATGGGAAGAGCACTCTGTGCTCAGGGAGCCCTGCTCTGCTCCTTCCCTTGAGCACAGAGCTGAAAAAGCAGCAGCATGCCTGGCCGCAGGGCTGTGGTTTGGGGGTGCCAGCTAGCAGGAGGGGGCTTGTCTGCTCCCTCAGGCATCCCTTCACCAGGGTTAGGAATGGTCCTGCTGCTTTCCAGCCTTGCTTGGGCTGGGGTGTGCCTGGATCGCACCGAGGAGCTCTCTTGCTGCCTCCTTAAGCAGGAAAGCGAGGAGAAATGCCAGGAGGCTCTTTTCTGCTGTACAGAAGGGTTGAAAAGATGTTGTGCTGCAGTGATTCAGTGGGGAAAGGATAAATCCCTCACATACACCTACGCACCACCACGAGAAAGAACTCCGTGGGCAGGCAAGGAGCAGAGCATGAAATATGAATTTCCTCGAGCTGCTCAGGAGGGTTGGCTTCCAGAGCCCTTCCTCCTCCAGCTCCTGCTGTCCGGCCATGCTGGGATGAAGCTCTGCCCTGGATCCAGGAAGGTCCCCAGGCTGGGCAGTCTGCACTGCCCTATTGCTTGCACCTGCAGCCTTAATGAAGGGCAAGGCCCCTTCTCACATGGTTTTGGGCTGCAGCTGGGTCAAGGCTGGCTGCCCATCCCTCAGTGAGCTGGCAGCTCCAGCAGACAGCAGCTCCAGAGCTGGGGAGGCGGTAGAGGTGGCTCCCACTATGGAAAAGCTTGGGAAGACCTAATGTAAGCTATAGCCAAGTCCTTGGGTCATCAGATGGTGCCCAAAAATGCTTGCCGCAAAACCACCCCCCACAGCCAAATCTGGGTTGGTCCTGTTTTCTGGGTAAGTCCACAATGAACAGGGCTCTCATGTAGGGGGGAAGTGGTTGGAGGTGTTGGAAGAGTTGATGAATGCTTTTCCCCATTTAACAGAATATTCAGAGGTCTTTCAGGTGCGTTCATCTGAGACATGCACCATCTGCTGTGGTCTCTGCTGGAGCAGGGGCCTTGCAGAGCCTGGTGCACATGCAGAGTCCCCCGGAGGAGCTGTTGCAGCCAGGGCAGTTACTGCTGGTTCAGGTAGATTTACTTTACATGGGGGGGGGGGGGGGAAGCTCAATTTTGCTTGGTTTCTTAAATACTTTATATTATTTCTCAGCAAATTTGGATTCTCCTGTGTCTTTAGAGCGCATGTGGATGCAGTTGATTTCCTGGGGGTTTCAGACAGCTTCATTCAGAGCCGTTTAGAAAATTATTTAATCACCTTGGAAAATCCTGTGGAGCCAAAAAATCTTGTGTTTACTTATTACTCGGTTGTAAATTGCTGGTGCAAAACATAGTAGCACCGGGTTGTAAAACTGCACGTAAGCCTCCACTGAAACCCAGTGCCAAACGGAAAAGCAAACCAAAGAATTAACTCTGTGCATGCAGTGACACCAATGTAAATGAATTCTGTCATCACAAGGCTGGGCAGGAGTTTCTGAGGTTGCTGCAGAGCCGAGTAACTCCAGGTCCAGGGTAGCTCCCAGGTGACACACTGAGTGAGGATGTGATCCTATTGACGCATTTTGAAACCCCTTAATGACTCATCCGTGTGCCATTAGAAGCTTGTGCTTGCTCAGTGTGTGTTTGACTGGCGAAAAGGGGCTGTGTTTAGCACCCTTGGGCAGACAGCCCTTCCTACTGCTGCTGATGGGCAGGGCATGGAGGCACAGGCACTGGGATGCAGCAGGCACTGGGATGCAGCTCAGTGGTGAGTACCTGCCTGTGACCTCAGTCCCCCTCCTGCTTGTCCTCAGAATGGGATTTTCAAAGGCACAAAGTCACCACCCTTAGGTTCAGCACTGCCCTGCTGTGAAAACAAGCATGAGCTGGTGTCCCCTTTCATCACAGCCTGGTTTGGTTTGGAAGGGATATTAAAGCTCACCCAGTTCCAACCCCCTGCCACAGGCAGGGACACCTTCCACTAGAGCAGGTTGCTCCAAGCCCATCCAACCTGGCCTTGGGCACTGCCAGAGATGGGGCAGCCACAGCTTCTCTGGGCACCCTGTGCCAGCGCCTCAGCACCCTCATAGGGAAGAGTTTTTTCCTCATATCGGATCTCAGTCTCCCCTGTTCTGGCAGGTTAAAGCCATTCCCCTTGTCCTGTCCCTACAGGCCCTTGTCCAAAGCCCCTCTCAAGTTTTCTGTAGCCCCTTTAGGCACTGGAGCTGCTCTAAGGTCTCCCCTTAGGAGCCTTCTCTTCTCCAGGCTGACCCAGCCCAGCTCTCTCAGCCTGGCTCTATAGCAGAGCTGCTCCAGTCCTCGCAGCATCTCTGTGGCCTCCTCTGGACTTGCTCCAACAGCTCCACGTCCCTCTTATGTTGTTGCCCTCAAGAGCTGAGTGCAGGACTGCAGGGGGGGTCTCATGAGAGCAGAGGAGATAGGGAGAATCCGCTTCCTCGACCTGCTGGCCAAAACACAGATATATTGTGGGATGCATTCGACATTCTTATGTTTCTCAAGCTGGAGTCACTCCTCTCTCTGCTTGCCAGCACAGGGTACTGTACCCAGTGCGTGTGTAAGAGCCTCTTCATTTTAAGGGACAAAATCCAGCCTTTCCCTGCACACAGGATGAGTGTTCCGGGTGCCTGGTGAGGGGACACAGCCCTGGCCGAGTGCTCCCACTGGTTTCATGAAGTGGTGTCACCCTTGCTCTCATGCGGCAGCCTCAGGATCCGCCTCGCGCTCATTCAGGAGCTGCAGCATCGCAGCCACGCATAGACTGATCTCAGCAGCATCCCTCTCGTATTTCCCCTCCCTGGCCCACTTCCAGCGTCTCCCGCATGCAGCCGGTTATTACTGTAGCATCCAGCATGTTTTACTTCATATTCATCTCCCTTGCACATACCGGCCCACTCACATATTAGATCCAGCTCTTTTTATCCATTTCTTTTTGCCTGTAGCTCGTCAAAGTGGTGATGCACGACCCGCCATGTGTTGGGACGCATCCTGACGGCACAGCGTGGAGCAGCCATCTCCACTGCTCTCGGATGCGTCGCTGGATGGACCCACTTGCTCTTGCAGCAGCCCATCTTTGGAGGAGGATGCTGGATGCAGTAAATGGTGATGACATAAAAAGGTGTCTGGGCTTTTAATATACATATACGTATACGTTTACATATACATATACACTTCTTGAAAAGCAGGGAAAACTGCAGCCATTTGGTGTGCTCAGAGGTTGCTCCACTCGTCTTAGATAGTATTTGTCTTTTCTTTCTTGTAGGTGGTGGCGGCCACATTAGCTGAAGATGACTCCATAGGGCAGGTTGGAACCACATAAAGTTCCCTGCTGTGTTGCTAGCATTGAAAGTTGAAGTGCCAGAAACAGTGTGAATACAGTTTTCAGCATGTTAAACATTGGCCAGTTTTAAAGGACTATCGCTCCTCATAAAGACAGAGAAACTTTTCAAGCTAGATAGGAACAATGGATTACAAATGATAGGGAGAGTGAATCGTATCTTCTTGCTGAGGAGCTGCCATGAGAGGCTGGGGAAGGCAGTTCCAGTGCAT